AATTGAAGAAATTACTAAACAATTTGCTGCTCCAGCTTCAACTGAAGAAAAGAAAGAAGAAGAAGTTAAAGAAGAAAAGAAGGAAGAAGCAACTCCAGCTGAAACCGAAGAAAAGAAAGAATAAATGAATTATTTCCTTTTGTTATTGGGTTTAAATTATAATATTAATTTATATTAAATTAAAATTCTGTAATGTAAAGAAGTTACCACGTAGTTATGATGTAACTCTTTTATTTTTTTTCTTTAACAAATACAACTTCAGGAGAAATAGATTTCTAAAGAAAAAATTAATTAATATTAATAAAAGTATTAAATTATCTTATTCGTTCATTTTTATGTACTTTTCTTTAAAAAATTTTCATATTAACTAAGATAATGTTGTATCGTTATTATTTAATATTTATTAATTGATTTTTTTTATTATTATTTAATAAAATATGATGAAAATTCTATTAGAAAATATAATGTTTTATTCCATTTTAACAGTTGGACAAAATTTCCATTTTTGTTTTAATTTATCAATTATATTAGAATACCGTCCATTGTTATAATCTTTTTTATTTATGACAAAATACTTTTTCTTTAATGTATTAAGTTTTTCTGTTATATTGTAAGAAGAGCTATTATTATTTTTCTATTATTTCTTTAATAAGAATTTAGTAGCTTCTTCAGAGACTCAAAAAAAAAAGCATTATAAAAAATTGAATTTGCTTGTTATTAAACAAAGTAATATTTCTAAGTTGGTTTAGGTAATTTAATTAAAAACAAATTAATAAAATAATAAGTATGATTTTATTTTTCCAATGATTTATAAATTAAACATTTCTAATATTTACATAAGAATAATTATAGTTTAAAATATTAAACCAATATCCAAAATTGTTTTTTCAACAATTTTATTTTAGTTAATAATTAACATTGGTTATGTAATAACAATTAATAGCAAATCACTTTGTTTATTTCTAATAAATTACAAAACATTTAAAAATAAAGAATATAAAATGATAAATACATTAATATTTTATATCCATTTCAATTTTGTTTTTTTTTTTACAACCTAAATATTGTTATTAGAATAGATTGAATTATTTCAATTTGCAAAAGATAAATTAAGTTTAGTCTAACTTTTATTTACACCTTAAGACAATCAAATAATTAAAGGAAGAACTATATTAAAATTGTTGTTATTTTAAGGAGTTAATGATAAATTCATAGAAGAACTAATTGGTGGAGTAGTAAATCCATTACCTAAACGAACAGAAAATTCACGACAAGCAACAATTGAGAGTTCCATATTCCAATTACCCATATGAAGACTATTTGAAAATAAATGACAAGAATAATTTAAATTTTTAAGAAGGACAACATTCATTGGAATAATTCCTTTATAAAGAGAAGAGCCATCAAGAATTTTAATTTGAATAATTCCAAGAGCTAAAAAAGGTTGAGGGAATTGCATAAGTTTTAAATTAATAACAGATTGTCCTTGAGTAATTTGTTGAAGAGATAATTTAAATTCAGTAATTTGTTGAAGATATTTAGAAATGAAAGTGAGTGATATTTCTTTAGAATCAAATTTAATATTTTCTAAAGAATTAAATTTAATAACAAGTTGAAATTTTGTTTTAGTTTTATTTGGAGTTTCAACATAAGGAACACTTCCTGTCCAAGCAAAATAATTATTTGTTAAATAATTTTGAATAGTTTGAATTGTTGGATATTTAAATAAATCATTTGAAGAACAATTCATAAAATTCCATTGATTTCTATAATATAAAAATGTTCCTTTTTGAGTTTCCATAATATTTTCACATTGATTTAATAATTCATTTAAACTTACTTGTCGTTTTTGAGTAATAAAAAATAAATGATTTGTTGTTAATGATAATTCAATATTTCCTTTTAAAAATAATTTGTCATTTATTTCATTATTTAAATCAAGTGCTACTAAACCAATAGAAGTTTGATGAATATTAAATGTAAATGCAATTCCAACAATTTTTGGTTTTTCATTTGATTTATTTTTTGATGTATAAACTTTAGAATAAAAAAGATTTGATAATACATGAATTTGTTCTTTTAAAACTAATATACAATGGACTATAATTCCTGTTTCTTTAACTGCAAATATTTCATATTTATTTGGTTGTTGATGTGATAATTCTTTAATAATTTCCATTAAAAGAAGAATACCAGGTGTAACTGAATTAATATGATTTAATTGAATTGGAAATGATGTATTATATAAAACAATATCAACAATACTGCTTTGAATTTCTTTAACAAATTCCATTATTTCAATTTGATTTGGTATTTGATTTATTTTATTTAATTTCCATTGAATACATGAAATTGTAATATTTTTTGTTATTTGATTTGAAATAAAAGTAGAACTACGATTAATTAATATTGGTGTTGAATTTGGTGTTTTAATTCCAATAATATTCATTAATGAATGAGCCTCAACGATTGATGGAATTTCATATTTTAATGCTTTACTATCAGTTGCACATAAAATAATAATTTGTTGAGGATTTTCTTCACACATTTCACAACGAACAATATCATGAATAGGGATAGTTCTAGTTAATTTAGAGTCATAATTATATTCTTTAAAAAAAGAAGAATCCAAATGTAAATGAACAGTGTCTTGAATTTTAATATTATGACGATATTTTATTGCTTTAGGAATACATAATAAAACATTATTACATTTTTCATTCATCTAAACAATTAGTTTTAATTAATTATAAAGAAATAACTATTAAATCAAACATTTTCTTGATCAAATATTATTTTTCCCATTATAAAATCTAATGTTTCTTGTGGTTTTTTATATTGATCAGTTTTAACTGATATTATGGTTCTTTGAACACTAATTAATCCATCATTAATCATTCCTTTAATTTCTCTTTTTCCTTTTCTTGTAAAGTCTGTTTTCATAGCATCTGTTTGAGTATATCTATAACTCATTACATTAGCATGATCAGCCCATAAATTCATAAAATTAGTAAGTTCTGAATTAGAAATAAGAGAAGTAAGAGGTAATAAAGTTTTATTTCCAAGAATAAGATTTAATTGTTTACTTAATAAATATTTGGCAATTGAAGATTGAATAACATTAGTTCTATCTAAACAATCAATACAATTTGTTCTAATAATTCCTAATTGATTAAATAATTCTTTAGAATTATTAAAATAAAATTTATTCTTTTCTAATATTGGTTTAATTTCCTCCATTATTATTTCAATATTTTGATACTTTTGATTTGCACAAATTTTATGAAAGTCAAATCCAAAATATTTAATTGGAAGTAAATTTGCTTTAACAAAAAGTTCATACATATCATGTAATTCTTTTTCATCTCCATTATTATTTAATAAATTAATAACTGTAATTTCTCCATACATTTCTTTTAACATATTAAAATGTTTAATTAAAACATCATTTTGTCTTGAGTCTTCTACAAATTTTCCTCTTGGTTTAAATAAATCTTTTTCTTTTGTTTTCCAAATTAAAGGAATATTTCCACGTATTTGAATAAATGAACTATTTGTAATACCATCAGTCTAATTGATAATTATGACTTGTTAGATTATTAATTTATTAAGTTAGTATATAAAAAAACAATATATTTTATTTAACAAACAATAATTTGTTCTGTTTCTACAAAGTTTGAAACATTTCCTGAACTATCAGCTCCACGTGAAGAAAATCTCAACCCTGCACGAGTTTTATCTCTTCTTGAAATTAATATGTATTGAATATTTTTTGATGAAGAATTTATTAAAGGTATTGATTTAATAAACCCATCCATAAATACAACAATCCAATGTGCAAAATATGGTTGTAATATTGAAACTAAACTTTCATTCCAAAAGAATCTTGGATCAGTAAATGTTGTTTCTTGTTGGTTTTGTAAAGTTAAAGTTATGTCTAAATCATATGAATAATATAATTTAAATGTCATTAACATTTCTTTTACTTTACTTACTTCTTCTTTAACAAATGATGATGTACTTTTCCATTGTTCAATTGGTAAAATTGGTAATAAGTCAATACTTAAAACTTCTAAGATTTTTTTTTCTTGTAATGAACATGTTTCTTTACTTTCTTGAATTACAATAGCAAAATTAATATTCTCTATTTTAATAAATCCCATTAGTTCAGATAATTGAAATGTTTGAATTACTTCTCCTTGTAATTTTTGTGTTGTTAATTTATAACTGGTATATTCAATACTGAAATAGTCTTTAATTCTCAAATTCTCAAAAACTACTCCATCGCTTCTATAATTCACTAATAAGTGTTTCATTAATTGCTTTGAAAAATGATCTTATTTAGTTACTATAGAATTTTCTTGTCAAGTGGACTTTTGTGTTATTCTATTTAAATTTTTTCTTTTTTTTTTCTTAAATCTATTTTGCTTTTATTTATTTTTCATAGAAAATATTATGTTATTTTATCATATCAATAAAAAAATAATATGTGTTGTTTCGTGTGTATTGTTATTTTCTTAAACCAAATTCATTTCTTATTAGTTTTTTTATCAACTGAATTTTTTACTCATAATATGTTTTATACAATTTTTATTGAGTGATTCTTTTTTTAATATTTTTCAATTTTTAAAAAAAAAAGGTTAGAATAGAAGTTTTATTTTTGTTATGAGAATAAAGAATTTTCTCAATTCTCTTGTTGGATTACTCATTTTTATACAGCTGATTCTAAAAGATAAATCCAGAAAAACATTAAAAAAAAGAGAATACGGATATAATTTATTAATAGAAACTCATTTCAAATTATATTTTTCATATAACTCCATTCCACCACCATCAAGGTTGTCAATACTTTTTAAATATATCAACTTCTGTATTAAATGAAACATATTATACACTTAATGTAACTTTTTTAATGTAATCAATATATGGTGATTATAGTACTCTCAGGTTAGATTAATTAGGATTTAAACTTCTCTTATAATGATACCTGTATTTCTGGGATATAATAAAAGTATCAAATCAAATGAAATAATCTCGTAATTTATTAGTCTGGTTTTGAACTGTTTCTTTAACTATATATTTTTTCTTAATGAATTACATTGTTTTGCTTCTTTGATTATGAGATTTTTATTCCTTCTTATGTTTATCTAATTCTTTTTTATGAATTTTTTATCATTAACTCCTTTCTTGAGTTAACTTTAACTCAAAACTTTTATTCTTTATAGTGATACTATATATTTTCGATACTATCTAAATTGTTTTGTGCATTTATTCCTCCAGTTTTTAATTCAAATATCTTGATTTTAGATGTTCATTTTTAGAATATTATTTTATCATTTTAATTTAACCTTTTTATTTTTAGCTTAGATACTACCATTCTCTTCTATACTTTTAATAATTGTTATTTAGTAATTACACTTATTTCAGTTATTATATTTTTGATGTTTATAAAGTTGAACGAATGTCTTTTTTGTTATTTTTTATTAATTAATTAGTGTTGTAGAGTAAATAATTTTTAGAATACCATAAGATAGTAATTATTGTTAGAAATGATGGAGTTTGTTAATTTTACTCTTTTTGAATGTTTTGTAACTTATATTAAAGTACTGTGATTATGATGATATGAGATATAAATTGATTCATAAATAATAGGAAAAATATGTAATAGAAATAGAAGAAGAAAATAAATATAACTATGAAATTTTCAAGTTGAATGAAAGAATTTATAAATACATCCTAACCTAAAAATAAAAAATGTTTTAAATTTAAAATATCTTCAACTCTTATAGTCCACAAACACCAATTTTTCTGCATGTTTGTTCAGTATTAAAGGTTAAAGGATCTCTTACTTTTAGTGCATGTTCAGCAATTTTTAGTGCTAAGTTAAAACAATTTGTTTGTTTATCAGGGACAAACCTTTTACAAACTTTTTCCATTTCTTTAAGAATAACACCATCCTCTTTTCTTTCAATAAGATTTTTCTTAGTCAATTCAGTTAATGTTCTACACAATGGACAATCACCTTTATCTTTACATTGATTTTGTTTTTTGATAAGTTCTTCCCTCATTTCAATAGCAATTCTTCTTAAGACTTTTTGACTCCATTTAATTCCTTCTCTACACCTAATTTCAATACTAATCAATTCATTTAATCTTCTTTCATTTTCTTTTAATCTCTCAACTACAATACCTTGTTTCTTAACATCTTTTTCTTGAATACTTTCAATAATTAATTGCCTTCTTTTCTTTTCAAGTTCTTTTTTCTCTCCTTGGACCTTCTTCATAATCATTTTTCCAATTACTTCAAATCGTTTTCCTTTAAAACCTGTTTTCTTCATAATTTTCTTTTCAAGTTTTTCAATTTCTTTTAATTCTTCTTTATGATATCCAATACTCTCTTTCAAAGTATCGAGTTTGTTTTGGTATTTTTCTTGACTTCTAAAGATAGCGATATTTCCTCTAAGTTCTTTAGCCAATTCATTTTCTTCTATTCCAATCTTTTTAGTTAAAAATTCTTTCTTTTCTTTAACATGTTCTAAGGCACGTGCTTTAAGACTAAATGACTCACGAGCAATCCAGAAATTCTTAGTCATTCTTAATTCGCTTAAATTTTTTCTTAGTCCTTGTAAAACATAATGAATACGGTTTAATTTTGCATTCAATCCTTGCTTTTTCATATTTCTAATTCTTTTTCTTGATTCAATCATACTTTTGATTTTCTTTTTGTCTTTTTCACTCATTTTATTTTTTGAACAGACTTTAATCTTCTCCCTTTTTGTTAATCTTTTTTTTTCTTTTTCAATTTTCTCTTTTTGTTTAAGTAATTTTTCAACTTTTTCTTCTTCGTGTCTAATAATTTTTTCAGTAACTTCTTCTAATGCTACTTTCTTTCTTCCAAGAATCTCTTTTTTCTCAACAATTAACTTACGGACTTTTTCCCACTCGGTGTAAATACTTTTACTTCTTCTAATCAATACAACCTTTCTACCGACATCCTTACTTTGATTAATAATTCTTTTAAAGTAGTTAATTTCTCCATTAAGTGAACCAAATCGTTCTTCAAGTTTAAATAATTGTCTACGGATGATGCGTATCTCTTTTCTCAAAGATCGTTCTCTTTCTTTTTTCTCAATTATATCAGCATCTCCAATTTCATTAATACGTTTTTCTAATAAGGATAGTCGTTGTTGTAAGAGTCTTTTACGTTCGCTAAATTTCTTATTCTTTTTATTGTATTCACTAATAGAAATTTTTCCTTGATTATTTTTTGAGTCAATCTCTTCTAGTCTGTGAATGTAGTAATTAAGTTCTTGTTCATCTTCATTAACCATTTTATGTAATAAAGAAACTTTAATTTCTTTGAAATTTGATAATTCTTTTCTTTGTTCTTCAACAACAAATTTATATCGTTTGATGGCTTCAACACTTTCATTTAACCTTTCAACAGCTTTGGTTTTCATAAATGAGAAATACTCAACTCTTTTATTTAATTGGTGCTGTACTGTAGGACAAATATCTTGTCTTCCTTGCATATTTTTCCAGTATTTCATTTGATGATTCATTTTAGCAACTATTTTTCTCATTTTCTTCTCTCTTTGTAAAGCATTACTAAGATCAATTCCAGCATTTATTGCTATAGTTTTAATTTCTCTTTCTTTCATATCCAACATCTCTTCTTTATAGTTTCTCTTCACATCAACTAACTTTTCTTTCATTTCTAAAATTTTCATCTCTTCATTTTTTTTCTTTTCTAATTTTCTAATCTTTTTTTGAATCTTCTTTATAAGGTGATGTGATTTATTTTTTTCACTTTTGATACTTTCTTTAATTAGGTTAACCTTTTCTTCTCTTTCTTTTTGTTCTCTTCTCCTTTTTTCAATCTCCTTTATTTGCCCTTTTACAACTTTTTCTCTTGCAACAGTCACATTATAGTTTAGTTGTAGTTGGGTATTATCTTTATTACTATCTAATTGTGTTTTATAATCTTCAACTCTTTGTTGAATAGCTTTTAAAGTGAGTTGTAACTCCATTAGTCTTTCTTCTCTTTTTTTCAATAACTCTTTTTCTTCATTAACCATTTGAATTTTCATTTTTTCCCATTTATCAATTTCTTTTCGTTGAATAGCATTTAAATCTAATTTTCGTTGGATTTCTATCTTTTTTTGTTTGTTTTTAGTACCTTTTATCTGAAGTTCTAACTGTTTACGTTCTCGTTCATTTCTTGAAATCTTTTGAATTTTCTTCATTGAAACTTCAGCTTCTTCTCCAGCAAATTTTTGTTTAATATGTTTCTCTATGTCACTTAACATGTCTGAATTTAATGAAACCTGGATAATGTCATATTTAATACTATCATCGATTTGTGCTTGTACGCTTAGTGTAACTAATAACACAAGAATGATCATTAGTTTTTAATATTATACTTTTCTAGTTCCATCTCTTTATTTTTTTTTTCTTTTCTTCTTTTTCCTAAAAATGTCTTGTTGATTTTTGATTATTTTTTTTCTGTGTTTTTCATAAAACAGAAAAAAAGATATTATTTTATTTTGAAATTGGAATTTACTGACTGAAATATTCAACCAAAGATGAATTGGATTTATTAAAGGTTTATTATCAAATTTGATGAGTTTTTCATTTATAATAATATTGATTATTTTTGGTAAACTTTGAATGGTCAACAATAATAAATCATTCTTAGTTTAATAAACGCTACCCCTTTTATTACTACATAAAATATTAGATAGAAAAATATCAGAATGGTTG